AGTTTGTTTTTGGCCAATGAAATTTTAGCGTAGATCATCACGGGACCGCAAATTTTTATGCGGTTGCTATGTATAATAAGATAATTTGAGATAAGATCCAAAATAGTTAAGGATTTGTTCTTGCAAAGTGCTTCAGCAAATGCACTTCCTTCTTCTGGTCCAAGGTTATTTGAATCATGATCTAAAGTAGTTAAGGCAGTGTTCTCGCAGTGTATTTGCTAACACTTTTCCACCTTCTGGTCTAAGATTATTCAATTGAAGATTCAAAGAAGTTTGTATGGTGTTTTTACAAACTGCATCTGTCAGTTCTATTCCAACATCTGATCCAAGATTATTCTTACTGAGATCCAAAAAAGTCAGTATGAAGTTTAGTTCAAGTACATTTATTAACTTGGTTAATTTTTCTGATATATATTTAGAAGAAAGATCTCAAGTTGAAGCAATTTTTTGATCTTCAGCATTATGCTGACTGTCATTAAGAATATTTTTAAAAATCTTCAATGTTTTGAGAAATTTGTCTTGCTCAAAATATCTATGCATTTCTTTTCTCATATCCTCAATATTACATTCTTGCATCAAAATATTTGAACTTGTTATATCAGGCAAACAAGAAAAACTTGAAACTTCTGCTGAAATAATGGATGTATTTGAACTACTTGACTACTTTGAGAAATATTGCTATTTAAACTGATACTCCAATGAGTGATGTATTCAGAATAATTTGTTTCAAAGTATTAAGAATTTATCTTGTTTGTGAACAGTTGGTAGGATCTAATCCAACATCATTTATAAAGTCAATATATTAAGGTTGTGTGTCTGCTATTGGCTTTTCTCTATGTCCTCAGTTATTTTAATTACAAGTAAAAATTGGAAAGATTCTGATCTAAATTCTTGATACAGTTGAATTTCTCTTAAAATTTTCTCCAAAGCTATAGATGTCTAATTTCTTGTCTTATTTAAATTCATGATCACAAAGATATTGAGGCTCAATATATGCCAGCACTCCATGAACAATCAAATTTGAAGTCATAGACCTATTATTTATCTGTCATAATAACATGAAATCTGTAAACTTTGGTTGCTTATTGTAAATTAAGATATTTTTTAAATGCTATGAATTTATATTAAAAAACAAAAAAATTAGTTGCTATAGATAAAATTAGATGAACTTACAATATCTCTATGAATAATTTTGTCATCATATAAAAAATAAAAGACTGCACATCACTTCTTCAGCAAATCTTTAGTTTGTCATTCTATTGAAAGCTTTCGAAATTTGTTTTCAAATATTCTTATAAATTTTCACCATTAGCATATTGTAAAACCATGCTATAATGTCTGTTACATTCTATTTATTATAATTAATACTATAAATTAAATATTTAATATTTTCATATTTACCTTTTATAACTCCCCAAAATTTAATAATATTTGGATAAATATCAACTTTTCTTAATAGTTTAAGCTTTTATTTCAAATTATTGAGATAATTGTTAAAATAAAAATAATAACATTGTATTAAGAAGGAATTAAATTTCAGCATAATAAATATCTCATTAATAAAATCATTAATAACCCTTTCACTAATCTCAGTATCAATTTTAAGACATTAAGAGCAACCGTTAGATTGTCTTTCCATTTGTACTTATAAACATTTCTGAAACCTCTAGTAGCAATTAATTTGTGGCTTGTAAATGTATTAAATTCATAATAATAAATATGTCCCTCAGCAATAGCTCTATCAAGTCATTCATATAGATTTGCCATGACTTTTGCATGCTAAAGAATATGCACGTATGTATATACATCTTTTTATACTTATAAATTACAGGGATTATGTGTGATACTAGGTAGTTATTAGAATAATATAGAGCATGATTGAGGTTTGTTTCTATTGATTGCTTAATTGTATCAGATCAGATGATCATTGATGATTATACTAAATTATAATTGATTAATTCGGTAAAAAAATAAAAAAAAATCAAAACTTCAGAGCTGATTTTGTGAACTAGAACTTTTCTAATATGAAAGCACACAAACTTATTTGTATAGTTTTGTTACTTTATTTTATATAAATATTGAAGATCACAGAAGATCACATGTTTGAAAAAGTTTTATTAAAAATAAAGATGAAGCAAAAATTACTAATAAACATTGCCTCAAGTGCATTCATAAAGTTATTGTATACTTCTGCTACAGCTTTTAGTTCTATTTTGTCTTCAGAACTACTTTCATTTGCTTGTATAGGCTCTTGCCTTTTTTCAAGTTTCTATTTAGTAAACTTGTTTGGACCTTTTTCTAAGTATTCAATAAACTTTTTTATATTGTAATAGATATCTTTTTTATAGTATTCTTTGCAATAATGACATTCATATTGTAATGTAGCATAACATCTGTGATGATATCCATGATCACAGATTAAAACTTCTCTCTTATTTAATATTTTATAAAAATGATCACAAGTATTTGTTGAAGATGAAAAACTTATACTAAATCTTATTAATAAGCATTTTATATCTACAATCTCATTTAAAGAAGTCAAATAATATAATGAATATTTTTGTTTCTTGTAAAGTTTACTTTTTTTTTGATTCTTAAAAATTGTATAGAAATAATCTAAAAGAAATATTGCTGTTTTTTCTTTTAAAATTATTAATGTTGAAATTGAATAAAAATAATTTTTATTTTTTGAAAAAACATTTCTTAATTCATTTTTATTTTATAAGTCTTTTTTATTTAAAAAAAATAAAAAATAAAAATAATAATAATAAATAAATTTAGTTAAACTTAATATTATTAAAAAGTTAAAACTTTACTAATTACATAAGCTTTATCTATAATATTTTTTATTGTAATATTATATAAAGTATTTACACATAGTTTACTATACATATTTTTGACAAAATAGTCATTGAAATTTACTAGATATACAGTAACTTAATTGTTACTACTAAAGGATGATTATTATCTTACCAATAAAATATATCAGACAAAAATGTCAACAGAGTCTTATTATAATTGTGTTTTTATCATCTTAAAGCAAAAGTCTAGTTCTGAAAGATTAATTCTAAATATTTATCAAATGAACCTAAACAAAAAAGTATAGCATAAATATCAAGTACTGTAAAAACTATATTATTTACTAAATCTATAATTATTCAGTATTCAATATTTTTATAAACAGAACTAAATTTTATTATAACTATGTTTTATACTAAAAACTATTTCCTATATACTAATTTGAGAAATAAATTAATAATCATGGTTTTGGTTTCTTGTCTAATATCTTGTTTTTATTTCTTATTAAAGCAGATGATTAGTGTAGTACAGTAATAAATTAACAATTACATTGATTATTTATCTAAAATAGATTTATTATTAGTATATATATATATGTTATATTCTCTATATCTGATAAATAATAAATATTAGTATAATAAAAAGAATCAATAGAAATACAGTATATGATTATAATAATCTGTATAACAATATAATTAGTATCATTAATATAAACATTATAATTAATATAGAAAAGATAAGAAGTATAAGTTCTATATTATAAATAAAATATATAACTTATTTTATATAAATAAAAGTATATAATAATAGCTTTGAGCCTTATAAAAAACTATTCAATGTTTATAATTTAAATAAGATTTGTCTTTCTAATAATTATATTCTGTTTTTATTATATAATAAAATAATATCTATAATTATAAACTATCTAATTATTAAATAAATACACTTCTTTAATTAAATTTATCTTATAAATTCTATAATATGAGATGTGTTATCAATAGAAATAAGACAAATTTATTAGATAATTTGTCTTATTTCTATTGATGCACTCTATATATCCAATTAAGAAGAAACTGATTTGTCATTTCAACTGTCTCAATACATGTATGCTTTTTTTTAGTATAATTCAGAGTGTTACAAAAAATTACAATAATTAATCATCTAATTAGATTTAAGATTTTTTACAAGATATTTAACTTTTATATAAGCTATATGTAAGAATAAAAAAAATATTTTTTAGTATTTTAAAACATGTAATGTTTATAATATAAATATATAAAGTTTAAATTTAAAAATATTTAAATAATAATCATCACATGTTTAAAAATAATAAAAAATATTTTTTATTATTTTTAATCATGCATCAAACTAAATTAAATCTGATACTTAATGTACTAATGCAATTGATATACTGCAATCATTTCTTTTCCCTTTAAGTAATTCAAGCCTAGTTAATTTTATTCAAATATTTTGTTTGTCAATACAGTGAATAAGTTCTTTATAGAATTTTTTACAATATATTATGCATATATATATATATTAATTCTAATTAATTTAAATATTTTATTTATCAACAATATAGTAAGTAATTTTTTTTTTTTTACAACATATAACATAAAAGTAATTATTATAATAAACATTAAT